AAAAAGGCTGTGTGTATCCTGAGCAGTGAGGATGGCGTGACCAAGTTCCTTCCCCTGGAACTACACTGAGTATCAAGCTGCCATAAATTTGAGCTATCTGTGAACACTATTTATTAGAGCTACTTTTCTTTCATGTGTATTTGATTTGATATGTTATTTTTGGGGTCTAGGAATGCTCAAAAGCTTCTCCCATATCAATGAATGGTAATTCCTTCTTCATTTTACACCATTCTGATTTATGAAGGGTTTCATAGAAATGCTCTGCTTGAAACCTGTATATATATTTTCTTAAAATGAGAACTGATCTTTGCTCTCCTGTTCAAATATCCCACTATCTACCAAAAACAAACACGCAAACAAACAAAAAACTCTAACAAACAAACAAAAACTGGTCAAATCATTTTTAAGGCAATCCAGTCTGTGTAAGTCAGAATTTCTGCAGAAAATATATGGTGTAAACAAACTGGCTAATTTAAGAGAGTTTAGTAATGGAGTTAAATACAAAAGCATGAATACATGTAGTAGTTATGGTTATGTGTCAACTTGGTGGAAGTTGGTTTTGAGTGGCTTGATAGCTGGATGTAGTTATTCCCTATCATGAGAATGGTAATCAGCTCTATGGTGGGATCAACTGTGAGCAGCTCAGTAGCTGCCTTAGGGATATGGTCTGCTTCCAGTATATAAGAAGACACTTTGAGAATGGTCTTAACCTTTTTGGCACATCTGGATCCAGCATTTGGCCGAGGCTTCATCTCAGTGGCCTGCCATGTTGTCTGCTGATCTTGAGACTATTCCTAGACTTGAACTAGGGGCCTGTGATGTTGCTTGATAATTTAGGGACTATGCCATTTTACTTGTTCATCTTGGGTTTGTTAGCCTCAGCAGCCAGCAGCTGCCTGAGTTAAGAGACACCTCCAGCTTCAATGGGCCAGGAGCAAGAGACAGAGCTGAAGCCCAAGGTTGAGGAGCCTTCATCCACTCCCTAGAGTTGGCACTTTGTACTTGGACTTCTAGCCTCCTTAGTTGTAAGAAAATAAATCCTTGTTTATTGAAGCCACCCACTTGTGATATTTTCTGTTAGAACAATACTGTTGTTGTTGTTGTTAGGTGCCATCGAGTCAGCTCCAATTCATAGTGATCCTATGTACAACAGAATGAAACACTGCCCAGTCCTGCACAAGTCTCACAGTATTTGCTATACCTGAGCCCGTTGTTGTACCCACTGTGTCAATCCATCTCCTTGAGGGTCTTTCCCTTTTTCACTGACTCTCTACTTTAACAAGCATGATATCCTTCTTCAGGGAATGGTCCCTTCTGATAACATGACCAAAACAGATGAGATGAAGTCTGGCCATTCTTGCTTCCAAGGAGCATTCCAATTGCACTTCTTCCAGGACAGATTTGTTAGTTTTTCTAGCAGTCCACACTA